AGTGAATGTATAGATAAAGAAATATAACATTCAGATATAAGTAGAGAGAACCTGGTTACAATCTAGTTTTCCATACCTGGCCATTGCTAATTGACGCCTTTCTACTGTGAGCTCACTGTGTGTGTGCCAAACACCAACCCCTGGAAAAAAGCTCCAGCCAGAGTCGCACAACAGGAGAAATAAACAGACCCCCAAACAAAGAGAAAGCCAAAAAGAAAGAAAAAGTCACCCTCGGGCAATACTTCCGTATCTACAGCCAAGCAAGGAAACATGGAAGCCATGGATAGGGTTCCAACCAAACAAAATCCACCTCCCCCCCAAGATCTGATTTTCAATCCCAATCAATTCCAATTGCATCTCCCCCCACCACCCCAAAAGCTCTTTGGGGATCCGATTATTTGCAAGGCATACTTCATTAACCATCTTTTTTGTTTGTTTGTCTCCCCCAAGTAAGAAGTAGGCCAACCCGTGGTTGATGTGAAAGCGCAGATAAGCAAACTTGAGAAAATAAAGCAAAAGTTAGGCAGTGGTGGGTGAGAAAGAGCTAGAATGAAATTACCTGTCGGCGAGCAGGGCTGGGCTGGGCTGGGTCTGGTCCAAATTGTCGAATGATCACTCATTAGGCAGCTGACATATTGAAGGGCCAGGGACTTAGGGGGGTACTGACCCCCAAAAGCTGTCATTACTTCTCTCTCTCATCATCATCATCAGGAAAGGGGAAGAAGAAGAAGAAGGGAAGTTTTTTTTCCCCCCTCTGGGTAATGTTTGCTTTGTTTGTATTTGGTTTTTGGAGTTTTTTTGGGGGGGGGTTTTGGCTCCTGAAAAGGCTGGCAAAGAACAGTAACAGTACACATCGTTAGAAAAATATTCTTTTTAGAAAACAGGTCTAAAAAATAAATTGCAAAACATGTAAGGAATTTTTAAAGTCAAACTTTCATTAAGATAGAAAAAAAAAAATGTCACTAGAGTTAAAACAGCCAACCCCACGTGGCATGGTTTTTGGTGTTTTTTTTTTTAAATGACACTGGGAAAAAAGCAAATAAAATACCACACACAAACAATAATAATAAATAAATAAATCCAAATGAAAGTAAAACATTTCCAATGAAACCTGGAAGACTAGAAGATTCCAACAGCAGATTTCTGTCCACTACTGAAACATTCTAAACTCCAAGCTCTGCAGGCACCTAAATTAGAGGCTAATCAAAACTGTTGCTTTAAAAAAAAAAAAACAACAGAAAAAGAAAAAAGAAAGCGGTGAACCTGGTGATCCATCCTGTAGTATATTACATTTAAAAAAAAAATCCTAGTACAACAGAAACAACATTTTAAATAAAAGTCAACAAACAAACCAACACAGTAGCAGCAGCGAGTTTACCTGTCTGCGCACCTACATTTTCTTAGAAGGGAATCGTGTCTCATCAGCCAAATAGCCCACAAACCTTCTCAAAACAAAACAAACAAAAACAAAACACGTGCGCCAGGAGAAAACAGGACACAGGGTTGATGATACAATGTCTCTAACACCCCATTTCCCCCAGCCCCAAATAAGGGGTTCAACGGAATGAAGAGAATTGGTTTTTCCATGGCTCCGATCTTGAGGAAAGAGAAGACGATGCTCCAAGTCCGTGGGCTTTCTCAATGCTGTCGCTCGTGTCTTTCACAGTCTGATAACACGCAGGATGAGAGCCAGCGATAAATATCCCCGGGTGGTTTTCTTAGGATAGCACACACACAGAAAGATCTCAAAAGTTCACTGGAGAAAAACCAGCAGGAATGGGCCAATGAATGAAGAGCACCCCAAAAGATAAAAGACTATTAAAAACGGGAAGTTCCAAGGGAAAGAGAGATTCAAAGTCCAGTTTTTTATCATGGGGGGAACATAAAAGCAGTATCCGAAAGACTTACTGTAAAAAATACAATTTATCCATACAACTTTGAACAGATACGAACACGTTTACAGTTCAGTCAGCTTTTGGAATCATTATTACACACGTTTGATTAAAAGGGGGGGAAAAAAAACCAAAACACTGTATCTCATAATTGTCACAAAGATCATACAAGTGGTTAAAACAATGAGAAAGAGCAATTCACACCAAAAAAAGAATCCCTTAATTATCTGCTGTGTTTCCTTTTTGAGTTCTTTGAGAGAATTCAAAAAGATCACCCTGCTAAAATGACCCTTCCTGCCCTTTGTAAAAGTTCCCCAGGAGGCTGCTGGCTGTGTTGTGCTAGTAGTGTACGGGAAATCTGAACAGTCAGAGAAAGTACAGTGAAATATGTCTGCTTATGTCTGCTGAACTTCGGAGAAGGGCAAATAGGGTCCGAGCTACATTTTTCCTGGACCTCTTCCCCCACCAACACAAGATAAAGAGGTTTTTCGATTTGTTTTGCTTTTGAATGTATGAACCTATATGGACAGAGCGTGTGCTATTTTGGTGGGTCCAATTTAATGCGTGGATCGTAGGAAGTAGCCACCAAGATGATGGGATTAACCGGTTCTTCATTGATTTCTCTACACCAAATAGCATGTACCCACCAAGAGATGATTGTCTGGGAAGAGTAGCAAAGTATTTCCTTCTGGTAATGGTCAGAAGTACTTGGTCCTGAAAAAGGCTATTTCTTTCACATGGGATCAAAAAAGGTGTCTGGAGTGCCTTTCTTCTGCAGTGAAATGAGAACGGCTCACAAATTACTATGCTATTTGTCAACGATCAACCTTTCACTCAATTTTAATAGCATTTAACTCTATGGGGCAAGAGGGGGGGTTGGGAAACCACGTTTTTGTTTATTACATCCTTTTGGAAAATGGGGCAAAAAAACTGTACAATGAAGCATGATCAAACCTCTGTGAGAGCTGGTTAATACTGATCTTTTATTATTGTCTCTCTAGCAGTGTCCGAAATTACGTGTGCGGTCCGTCTGGAGGAAAAGGAGTCCGCGGCCAGGCGCAGGCGCGGGCCCAGGGGCCGCTCGCTGCTGTCATGTAAAAACTGAGGGACGCTGATCGGTCCATGGCCACTGCCACTGCTCCCCTAACGACCCTCGGGTGCCCAGCACAGGGGAGGGGGGGAGGGGGGAGGCGGGGGGGGGTGTACTGTGCCCAGGGTTCAAAAGACTCGTATTGTAGGCAGGTTTGGGGGCTTTTGAAGAGACTAGGAAGATTGGTCAACATCGGAGGCTGAAGGGAGGGAAGAGGGCTGAGACTCGAGATGGCCGGGGAAATTTCCCAGGGAAAAAAACATGGCGCCCACCCACCCCCACAACCTCCCCCCCCCCCAAGGCCTATGTGTAAAAAGAGAAAATGCATAGCCATAGCACTGAAGGAAAGCACAGAGCCTTGAAGAAATCGTTGACAGTCTAGAACAGTCTGGAACAGTCTAGAACAATCTGGAACAGTCTAGAACCGTCTAGAACAGTCTAGAACCATCTAGAACAGTCTAGAAGCAAAGGGGGGGAACCAAACCACGTATACATACACACACACGCACGCACGCACACGCACACACGCACGTGCACACAAAGGCCTAAGAAGCAGTTCTAGCCTCCGTTGTCTTTCGGTGAGAATCTCTACCCCGCTGAAGAGTCTAAGTCGCTAAAAACAACCCCTTTTTCGAAATTAAAAGAGAAAAACTGTGTTGGCCATCATGCTCCATTCTCTAGAATCTAGCCTTCCAGCTCGGCTGGGGTAACGAAGAACGCAAGAACACAGCCACACCGGCGTGCATCCGTGGAAGGCGGAAAGCGCAGCTGTCCGTGCAGCTCGAGCAGCAGGAGCGCCATCCTGAAGAACCCAACGAGCCTCCTGGACCTCTTAAGAATACTTCTCCTCGTCCTCATCTTTTCCATGTCCAGCCCACCACACAAGAAAAAGAACCGGTCGACCACACAAATAGATAAAGGGAGAGGCGAACTTCGCCAGGGACAGTTCTGATCAGAGCAGCTCGCTCGCTTCGCTTTGGCCAGGTGTGGAAGAGGGAAATGTTAAGACTTGCGTGTAGTAAAACAGCAAAGCAATGCAAAAGCCACATTAACGGAGCGGATCATCTTTCCAGAAACAAACAAGAAAAAAAGAAGACTAACACACTGAACAAATACAAGCCAATGCACGTCCCAGCGACTAGTGTGGCTTTATCTACAGGTTACTTTTGCTACACCAGACATTGCAATACTGTTCACACCCGCTTCTGTACCATGCAATCATGCCGATTCGGTCATGGACAAACTTTATTGGTGAGAATCACGCAGTCCCTCCCACCCGAATTAAGGGGTGGGGGCGGGGAACCAAAGACAAAAAAAAAATAAACAAAACAAAAACACACACGCACACAAAAAAAAAAATGAGAAACTCCAATAGAAGAGCCCCTGGAGATGGAATCAACAATGAGCCAAGGCTGCTAGTGGATCAACAGGGAAAATGGCAGATTGTCGCATCTGCCTGGGCAGATCTGCTGGTAATTTAGACAGCTAAGTCTCCACCGGCTGTCTAGATAAGACTTCAGGCTCAGAAAGTTATGGCTAGGAGCTATTTTGGCCCAAACCAAACAGTTGGGGGGTTTTGGGGGTGGTGGTGGTGGTGGTGGTTTGTTGTGGTCGTATAAAAAAATAAACAACAGCATGGGCTCAGGTGAGTCCTGGTTGGACTGGTCCCACAGCAGGGGGCCAGGGGCAGAATTTTCCAGGTTGGCTCCTAGGGGCCCCCATCTCGCTAGCCAGACCCCACCCTGCTGCCTCTCCCTGCTGCAGCAGCTGCGAAAGAAAAGACCAAAGTCAAGGCTTCTCCTCTGTGGGTCACCAGCTAACTCAAGTTCTCTTATCCTGAGCGTCCTACATGAACAGCATTGCAAGTTGGTTTTTTAAAAAAAAAAAAAAAGAAAAGAAAAAGGGGGAGGGGGGAGATAATAATAATAAGGGAAAGAAAAGGGAGGAGGGGAGGGGGGGAGGGACCAAAACATGAAGGCGCCGGGCGGGCGGGCGCGAGCGAGCGGCCGGCGGTGGGGTCACTCGACCAGGAGTTTGATCTCATTGGCTAGCAGCTGGTTCATGTTGAACAGGGCCCCGGGCAGCTGGCCCAGCTGGCCCAGCGGCTCGCGCTCCGTGCTGCTCTCGGGGTCGCTGTCGACCGAGCTGGCGCTGGAGCAGGCGCTCATGGGGTCGCCCGGCGCGCCGGCCGCGGGCCCCAGCTCGGGCTCGCTCGTCTCGCTGGCCGTGGACACGACCGACAGCAGCGACATGCGGCGGGTCAGGCGGCCCGGCGGCAGCAGCGAGGCGGCGTAGTCCGCGATGGTGGCGGCCACGTCCAGGTTGCAGGCCTTGTCGAAGGCCAGGAAGCCCACGTTGGCGTTGGCCTCGCACACGCAGAAGGAGCCGTCGTCCTTCATGAGCAGGTCGATGCCGCACACATCCATGCCCAGGATGTTGGACACCTGGATGGCCAGCTGCTGGCCCTGCTCGCTCAGGGTGCACATCATGCCCACGCCACCTGCACAACACACACGGGGGCCGGGGGTCACGGGGGGGCGCCCGCCGCGGGAGCTCGGCCTCCCACCGCGATCCTCCGGCCTCGGCCTCCCGAGCAGCGGGGATGGCAGGCGGCGGCCCCCCGCGCCGGCCGCGCTGGGGCCCGAGCCCGCGGGGCCTCCGCACACCCCCCCGGGGCCTCCGCACACCCCCGGGGCCTCCGCACACCCCCCGGGCCACGCGACCATCCCTCCCACTGACTGCCGCGCCCAGGGGGTGGCGGGCCTCAAGAGGCCACCAGGAACACATCCACGCGGGACGCCGGGGGTTTGGTTAGGTTTCATTCATCCTCTCTCTCCCTCTCTTCTTTCTGGATGAGGGCCTTCAAGCTTGGCACCTGGGGCTCCCGCCCGTCATCCCAGCCACGCCGGAGGCTGAGATCGGAGGATCACGGTTCAAGGCCAGCCCAGGCAGGAAAGTCCGTGAGACTCTGATCTCCAATGAGCCACCAGAAAACCAGAAGTGGTGCTGTGGCTCAAGTGGTAGAGCGCCTGCCTTGAACAAAAGCAGCTCAGGGGAGCCGGGCGCTGGTGGCCTCACGCCTGTCATCCTAGCTACTCAGGAGGCTGAGATCTGAGGATCTCGGTTCAAAGCCAGCCCGGGCAGGAGAGACCGTGAGACTCCTATCTCCAATAAACCACCAGAAAACCGGAAGTGGCACTGTAGCTCAAGTGGTAGAGCGCTCGCCTTGAGCTGAAGAGCTGAGGGACCCAGGCCCAGAGTTCAAGCCCCACAACCGACCAAAAAAAAACCAGTTAAAAAAAAAAGCAGCTCAGGAACAACACCCAGGCCCTGAGTTCAAGCCCCACGACCAACAACCCCCCCCCACCACCAACAACAAAAAAGCAATGTATAAAGCATGAGTTAAATTAGGGCACTAAGAAATTAGGACTAGGAAAATTCCAGAGCAAGCAAGCAAGGGGTGGGGAGAGGCAGGCAGGCAGGCAGGCAGGCAGACAGACAGACAGACAGCACACGAGCTCTCATTCGCCTTGTCTGCTCCACCGACTATATGGATCAGGCCACAGCTTGAATGGACTCAAGTTAACAGGGTGTCTCTAGCCAGGTGCTGGTGGCTCACGCCTGTAATCCTAGCTACTCAGGAGGCGGAGATCTGAGGATCTGGGTTCAAGGTCAGCCAAGGCAGACAAATTCCTAAGACTCTTTAACTTGCCAGCAAAATGCTGGAAGTAGAGGTGCGGCTCAAGTGGTAGAGCGCCAGCCTTAAGCTACAAAGCAATCACGAGGCCCTGAGTCCAAGAAGACCTGTGGCTACACACGGGCCCGGTGGTGGACAAGGTGCACAAACACTCGCGCCGCGCTTTACCTAGTGAGCAGTTGCTTTGCATGCGCCCGTCGGTGGAGCAGCGCAACATGGTGCCAACCACGCGCCCGCCGACCACGATGACCCGGACATCTCTCCCGTGAGACTCCTGGACATACTTCTGGAACAGGTATGGCGCTTCATGGCGAATAAGATGGCTCAGATCGGCCAAATGATGCTTATCTCGTGCCAAGAAGACAGCTTTGCCTGTGACCGAAAGATCCCAAGTAAAGCTGCATATATTACATAGGCGTATTTGATCTATAGCACAATACAGCAGCAGTATATATACCCATTTAATATACAGTATATACAGTGTATGTACCTATGATATACACATGCAGATATGCACTTACATCACATATACTATATATATTATAACACGTACATACATAATATGAATATATAATACATATGCACGCCATCAAACCACGGGCAGCTGAGTATGTGTGCTTGCTTGTAGACATGTGTATATGCATATATGTAAACATGTGTACATGTATGCGCGTACAGGTATATGTAAACATACATGATTTTTTTTTTTTTGGCCAGTCCTGAGGCTTGAACTTAGGGCCTGGACACCTTCCCTGAACTTCTTTTTTCCCCTCAGTCCTGGGGCCTGAACTCTGGGCGCTGTCCCTCAGCTCTTCAGCTCAAGGCTGGTGCTCTACCACTTGAGCCACAGCGCCACTGCGGGCTTTTTCTGCATATGTGGTACTGAGGAATCGAACTCAGGGCCTCATGCACGCAAGGCAAGTACTCTACCACTGAGCCACCTGCCCAGCTCCAGTCCGTGAGCGTCTTTTGCTCAAGGCTAGCGCTCTACCACTTAAGCTACAGCGCCACTCCTGGCTTTTTCTGCATAAGTGGTTCTGAGGAATCGAACCCAGGGCTTCCTGCTTGTTAGACAAGTTCTCTACCACGAAGCCACATTCCCAGCCCCTGAAAGTACATATGTAAATGTTGATGTATAGATCCGACACATTCCTGGAACCCAAGCAGCTCTCTGAGAATCAAGTACACTTCATTCTTTTATGTCGTCCATTGTTTACACCACATTAATTTCGTTAAGATTAAGCAAGGACCTGGGACGGTGAGCAGAGAGCTCAAGGGAAAGCACCCAGGCCCTGAGTTCAAGCCCCAGGACTGGGAAAAAGAAAAAAAAAAAAGAGTAAGTGAAATAGTGCAAGAGTCCCATACAAAGCATGTATGAAGAGCAAGTTAAGAATCTTCTGTTGCATTCACCCTGGTCTCTTTTGTAAGGTCTAGTCTAGCTGAGGATGCTTGGTTCTAAGTAGGGCTGGGAAAATCTCTGGCCACAGCTGGGGCTGGGGCTCAGTGGAAGAGCGCTCGCCGAGCATGCATGAAGCCCTGGTTCGATTCCTCACTACCATGTAAACAGCAAAAGGCAGAAGTGGCGCTGTGGCTCAAGTGGTAGAGCGCTCGCCTTGAGCAAAAGCATCAGGGACAGCGCCCAGGCCCTGAGTTCAAGCCCCAGGCCTGGCAAACACACACACACAAAAAAAAACAAAACCCTCTGGGCTCATCTCTGAGCAGAAATCGCAGGTGGTCATATGAGCTTATTATGGTACCCTTCTAGAAGCTGGACGGCCCCCGGCAGGCCAACCTTTAGAATGACTGTGCCGACAGCCGCTACGCACCTCTGTGGCCTCGTGTGTTCTTCACCACCATGGGGAACTCCAGGACCTCCGCCTCGTCGATCATTTTGGCGAAGTTTTCATGGCCGCCTGGAATGAGCAGAGAGTAAAGCGAGAAAGGCAGAGAGAAGCCAAGGGCTTCAGGGCTCCTGTCAGCTCCGCCCCTGGATGGCCAGCAGACTCCACCCCCTCCAGCAGACTCCACCCTCCCCCAGCAGACTCCACCCTCCCCCAGCAGACTCCACCTTCCCCCAGCAGACTCCACCCCCCTCACAGCAAAGTCTCCGCCCAGGACCTGCGTTACCTAGGCAAGTGGCACACCTGGAAGAGGTCACATCTGCATTGGCTGAGGTCACATCTGAATTTGATGTGGCCACACCTTTCTCCGCCCATACCCTAGATAAGGCCCAGCCCAGGCCAGACACTCTCTCTCTGCTCTTTTCTAGCTCTTCTCGCTCTCTTTCCTCTCTCTTTCCCAGCTCTCTCTTTCCCAGGCCTTTCCCAGCCTCCTGGAGTGCCAACCTGGCCTGGTCCCAGCAGGTCTACTGAATAAACCTCCCCCTTCGCTGAGCACCACGTGCGTGCGTGGTGCAGGTCTTACTCGGCTACCTCTTTTGAAAAACCTAACAGCTACACTATTTTTCTGGGAGAAAACCAATATGAATCGGTAAACATAAAACGAATAGACATTGAAGTTAAAACATCCAGTTTTTTCCCCCAGTCCTGGGGTTTGAACCTCAAGAGTCTGGACTCTGTCCCGGAGCCTCTCTGTGCTCCAGGCTGGCACTCTACCAATTTGAGCCACAGCTCCACTTCTGGCTCTCTGATAGGCAATTGGAAATAAGAGTCTCAGGGGGCTGGGCAGGTGGCTCAGTGGTAGAGCGCTCACCTTGCATACATGAAGCCCTGAGTTCGATTCCTCAGTACCACATATACAGAAAAAGCCTGAAGTGGCGCTGTGGCTCAAGTGGTAGAGTGCTCGCCTTGAGCACAGAGAAGCTCAGGGACAGCGCCCAGGCCCTGAGTTCAAGCCCCAGGACTGACCAAAAAAAAAAAAAAAAAGAGTCTCATGGACTTTCTTGCTGGGACTGGCTTTGGACCCTGATCCTCAGATGTCAGCCTTGTATATAGCTAGGAAGCCAGGCAAGGTTTAAACACTAAGTTCTGCATTCGGCCTGACATTTGGCTTGTCTCCCAGCGCAGGAGTAGATGATAAGAAGCAATCTTAGGCCAAGTGGATTCTAATTTGTAAAAAATAAATAAATTTTAAATCAATGCGATGATAAAGGAAAAACTTAGCCAGGAAAAGGTTCATGACGTTACTGCAAATTCTGAGAAATCAAGATGACCAACACCCCAAACTACAATCAATCCATCAACATCCGAGTGAAGAGGACTTTCTGTTTTTTGTTTTTTTTTTTTAATGGGTCCAGTCGTGGGGCCTGAACTCTGGGCCTGGGCGCTGTCCCTCAACTCTTCAGCTCAAGGCTAGCACTCTACCACTTGAGCCACAGCGCCACTTCCAGCTTTTTTCTTTTTGCTTATGTGGTGCTGAGGAATCGAACCCAGGGCCTCAGGCATGCAAGGCAAGCGCTCTACCACTGAGCCACCTGCCCAGCCCTGAAGAGGGCCCTCTGATGTGCTCATTTGATTCCTCTTTTTCTCTTTTCCATTCTCTTGCAGACTGTGAAAGTCAGAATTCAATGGGTACAAATGATTTTAATGGACTTTTGTTGGTGCAATTGCTAACATCAACAGTTGTATCTTTTTTGGGGGGAGGAGGAGGGAATTACTGGGATCTGAACTCATGGGGGTGGGGAGAGGGGAAAGCGACCCTTTTGAAATGTCCTTACGAGGAGAGGACAGAGACTTCTTTTTAAAGCTTCATTAAACCTCCAGCCATGGACCTGGACATTTATTTTCAAGAAATACCTTAGTTGAAGACTCTTAAACTTGGTATAGACCTCCCCTACCCAGAAGAACTGGAAAGGCAGGAAGTAGATTAGCATAACACTGTTTACCAGCACGCTTCTCAAAGTGCCGGCCTGGACTTATCTATGACTGGGAAGCCAGTAAATGAGCACTGGGTGCTTTCTGAGCAAGTTAGTACCCAAGGGGAATGCTGATCACCACATTGCCAGCGAGTTATTAATGCACAGTAGACTGACCTTTTTTTTTGGGGGGGGGGAACGATCTTTTATCTTTTTAAAAGATTAACTAGTCATTTTCTTTAAAAGCAACTCAAAAAAAACAACTATGAAGGGATTATGAAAATACTAACAGAAATGCCAAATTCTGTCATCTTGGACCTCAAACCAAAGGTCTGTGGGGCAAGGGCTGGGACTACAGGTGTGCACCACCATACCCCACTGATCATGTCGTCTAGCGGTCTCCCCTTGTGCGTGATCTTACCGTAGGAGAAGGTGTCTGGTAAAGGAACGCCGTGGCCGGCCAGCTCCTGAAACGTCCAGAACTTGTTCACGCAGTTGAGGATGGCCTGGGGGCGGTTCATCAGGCGGCAGCCCATTTTCTCCAGGTGGCGCAGGACGGTGATGTCACTGTCGCTCTGCACCCAGGGTGTGGGGACCCTCACGACCACCACCTGCGGGTACGCAGAGATGAGCTCTCCATTGATCCGCACGCCTGAAACACACCGGCGGGAAGCGAAACCATTACGAGGGCACAGGCAGCAACAGCCACCAAGCCGGGCGCTGTGGCTCCCACCTGTCGTCCCGGCTACGCAGGAGGCTGAGATGGGAGGATCGTGGTTCAAAGGCCATAAACTTGATTTCCAAGGAAGGATCTCCAATAAACTAGCCAGACCCCTCGTTCAACCCTCACGATCTAACACGTCACAGTTTATGCGGATGTAATGATTTCCACACAGCTATCTGTTCAGTTATTACGAGAAAAAGCTGAGACCGGGTGTCCACAGATATATAAAATGTGGGAAAGGATAAATATCCTCATTTCTTCTGATGCTACCTCGGGAGGGAAGAAAGCAGAATAAGGAGCTGCAGGATGTCTGTAATTTCCTCCTTCCAACACATGCGTGTATTTCTAAATGTGTTTCTCCTAATGAGCTCATTGGATCTTATAGTGCAGGTTTTTGTTTTTCTTTTGAAGGAGGAGTTCCTCCAGCTTCTATCCGACCTCATTCTAGTTAGGAAAATGTCAAGGAATACAAGACCAAGATGTTGCTACCCCCCACCCCCCCATTTCCATTTTTTAAAATATGTATTTCTTGCAAACACTCATATTCAAATTTCAACATTGTTTATTCACATTCCAGCTACCTCCCTCCATAGTTAGTGCCACCAGCATGCACTTTTCCTGTCATTTATGTGTAAAAAGAAGTAGTTTGTTGGTGGTGGTGGTTGTAGGACTTGAACTCTGAGCCTGGACACTGTTCCCTGAGTTCTTCAGCTCAAGGCTAGAGCTCTACCACTTGATTCACAGCGCCACTTCTGGTTTTCTGGTGGTTCACTGGAGATAAGAGTCTCATGGACTTTCCCGTCCAGGCTGGCTTAGAACTGTGATCCTTAGAACTCAGCCTCCTGAGTAGCTAGGATGACAGGCGAAAGCCACCGGTGCCCAGCTAGGAAGCACTTTTTAAATTAAAAAATATATTTTTTTTTTTCTTGTCAGTCCTGGGGCTTGAACTCAGGGCCTGGGTCTTGTCCCTGAGCGTTTATGCTCAAGGCTAGTGCTCTACCAGTTTTGAGCCACAGCACCACTTCCACATTTTGGGATGGTGAATTGGACTTTCCAGCCTTCGAACTCTGAGCCTCAGATCTCAGCTTCCTGAGTAGTAGGATTATAGGAACAAGCCACCAGTGTCCGGCTAAAAAGAAGCCCTTTTGAGACAAATGATAATCCCACAAGATTCTAAAGGTACAAAAAAACAAGAGTAGAATGAGGAGAGGGACACTTGTGAAACCGCCCACATTAGTTCACTTTGTTGAGAGCGAATGAAAGCTAAACTAGCCTGCTGAAATGAAACAGAACCAAACAATCATGAACCAAAAGGAACATATTCTTTCTCGGGCTATGAGTTCAAGTTGGACAAGAGGTAGAATAAGGGATCGACTGTAGTCACGTTGAAAACTAGTAGATTTACAAACACACTGGACGGTAAAAGACAAAAATCCACAGAGACATGATCAATTACCCAGGTCTCTAGCCATGCACACAGTGAGCTCAGAGGAAGATTTTCTTAGGAGAGGATCATAAAGGCTCAATATCTACATGCAACATGTTGCTATAATATTTATCAAGGTGCACTCCAAGGAATGGAAACAAAAGAGGTTTTTTTTTTCTTTGTTGCTGGTTTTTTTTTGTTTCTTTACCTTTTGTCTTATTTGTACGTTTAGCTGCCTTTGGGATGGCGGGGGGGGGGGGGCCACAGAAAAGGAGGGAAAGGGGGAATGAATGCAGCAGGGGTAATCACTAGACACTATGCTGAAAATGAACTCCACAACTTGTGGTTGGGGATGGGAGGAAAAAAGGGGAGGGGGGACACTGTTCAAAACGAAATGTACTTATTACCTGACTTATATATATCACTGTAAGCCCTCTGTACATGATCTTTACAGTAACAATAACCTATGCATGCATACATACACATTGTATATATTTATATGTATAGGTCTGTTGTAAGCTGGTGCTGGTGGCTTGTGCCTGTCATCCTAGCTACTCAGGAGGCTGAGATGTGAGGATCCTGGTTCAAAGCCAGCCTGGACAGGAAAGGCCATGAGACTCGTATCTCCAATCAACCACCTAAAAACAGGAAGTGGAGCTGTGGCTCAAAGTGGTAGAGGGCAAAAGAACACAGGGACAGTGCCCAGTCCCTGAGTTCAAGCATTACAACTGATTTTTAAAAAAAACGTCTATAGTATATAGCCACAGAAAAGCCCAGAAAACTGCTCCATTACTTGACAATGATTTCTTCTACCTTCTCCCCCAAACTGGCATTTGCCACACAGAAAAATAAAATAAAGTCGGAAGGAAGGAAGGAAGGAAGGAAGGAAGGAAGGAAGGGAGGGAGGGAGGGAGGGAGGGAAAGGACGCAAGCAAGCAAGCACGCATCCAGCTACCAGTGGCTGCTGCCTGCAATCCAAGCTACTCAGAAGACTTGAGATCTGAGGATGGAGATCCAAAGCCAGCCCAGGCAGGATGTTGGTGAGGCTCCTATTGCCAATGAACCTCCAAAAAGCCAGAAGCGGAGTTGTGGCTTTAAATGGTAGAGCACTAGCCTTGAACAGAAAGTGCCCAGGCCCTAAACTCAAGCCCCAAGACACACACCCACACACACTCACACACAGACACACAGACACACACAGACACACACATACACACATACACACACACACACACACACACACACACACACACACCATCTCCACCAGCACAGCAGGCGCACGGAACGAGGATCTGTCTCCCATGTGTGACACGTTTTACAGGGACTCTTGTGGCTTTAAAAACAGTGAAAATAGAGATCTGTGGTACCAAGAGGGAGATCAATCTCAAAAGTGACATAAAACTTTTCAAACTCTTTATGATGGGTGACTAAGAAGAACTCGTACTCTAACTACAAAGCCACAAAGAGCAAGACGAGCGTAAGGAAGTGCTGATCATGTGAGAGCCTGACTTGCTCATTTGTGTGGCTGCTCCTTAACCAGATGTATTTCATTTCCTAACGCCGTGAGTGACGGTTTGCTTTTGCAATTTCTGAATATGTTTTGAGTCTTATCTAGGCACAGGCAAAAGAAATTTTTATCTCAGAAGGGATGCATATGTGCTATCTGGGGAATGAGAAAGCCAAAAAATTCCCTTCTTTCCCATCAGTCCTCGAGAGAACAAAGGGAGACAGCAAACCCCTCATGACTGCCCAGCTCTGCCACGTTGCAATTTAAAGAGGGGAGAAGGCCGGGCGCTGGTGGTCACGCCTGTAATCCCAGCCACTCAGGAGGCTGGGATCTGAGGGTCATGGTTCAAAGCCAGCCTGGGCAAGAAAGTCTGTGAGACTCTGATCTCCAGTGACCCACCAGAAAACCCGAAGTGGCTCAAGTGGTAGAGCGCTCGCCTTGAGCTGAAGACCACAGGGACAGCGCCCAGGCCCAGAGTTCAAGCTCCACAACCAACAACAACAATAATAATAAAATAAATGAAAGAAAGAGAGACAGACAGACAGGAAGGAAGGGAGGGAGGGGAGGAGAGGGGGAGAGAGAGAGAGAGAGAAAGAGAGAAAAAGACCACCACAGAAAGCACTCAAACAGGCAATGGCATTGTGGCCTTTGTTTCCCAACCATCTTTCTTTCAATATAATGATTAACTGGTTCTTTTCCAAAAACTACAGAATCTAGGGGCAGGAAATGTGGCTTCGTGGTACAGTGCTTGTCTAGCATGCTTGAGGTCCTGGGTTCAATTCCTCAGTACCACATCAGCAAAAAATATACATATAATTAATAATAATAACAACAATAACACAGGGACAGTGCCCAGGCCCTGAGTTCAAGACCCACAACTAACAAAAAAAAATTGCACTGGGCACCAGTCAGTAGCTCACGTCTGTCACCCCAGCTCCTCAGGAGGCTGAGATCTGAGGATCGTGGTTCAAAGCCAGCCAGGGCAGGAAAAGTGTCTGTGAGATACTATTCTCCAAAACACCAAAAAGCTGAAAGTGTAGCTATGGTTTCAAGAGGTCTAGTTCTAGCCTTGAGCGCAAAAGCTCAGGGACCGTGGCCAGGCCATGAGTTCAAGTCCCAGGAACAGCACAAAAACAACCACAACAAAAACAAAAACCGTATCTATATTATATGCAAGTGAATTATTATATTTTCTTTCCCCATAAAATAGCCATGGCTACACAAATGGCAAAGAAAAAGTCTACAGAAACGAAGTGGAGAAATGATTGTCACTGGCAATGAAGCCAGCCGTGAAAATTCACTTGTCATCAGAAACAGCAAAGTGGGGAGCGGGGGGGCGCTCAGGAATGAAGTCCAGTGAGCACCCACACCTTCAGCCGGAGAAAGGGCTGGCTACTTCCCTGCCAAGTTAAAGGCTCTGTTCAGTCTATTGTACCCAACATTTGGTTGCTACCCCGGCTGGCTTTGAACCTCGATCCTCAGCTCTCAGCCTCCTGAGTTGCTGGGATTACAGGCGGGAGCTACGGCGCTGGGCTACAAAGGCATCTTTACATTTCCCTCCCGAGGATTTCCCACACGGTGCCAACAGAGCCCCTCTTCTGCTACTTAGCAAGGAGAGAGCGCCGTCGCGTCGCCCGGCGGCACGGGCCTGCCACTCCCGCTGCTGGCTGGCCACGGACTTACCCAGGTTCCCCTGTTCTACGGTTAGCACCACCTCGTCCATCACCACCGCCCGGAAGTCTAGCTCCTCCTCACAGCACTTGGCCTTGAGCGCGCGCAGGATCTCTTTCTGGGGATAGTCCTCCCGGATGCGCCGGTCGGTCAGAAACCACAACTTGGCGGCCATGGCGCTGCACATCTTGATCGCGCTTCCCGGATTCGCTCCTGCTCGCTCCAAGTCAAGCCTTTATCTAGAAGGAGGAGAGACGCGCGCGCTGAGTGTGCCAGCCGCACACGGGCAGGGCAGGGCAGCTGGCAGCACCGTGTCTCTTTATGGAGCCCCCATATTCCTTCTGTCTAGGGCCCCCGCACCGTGGCTCCCGCCTGGCATCCTAGATAGTCAGGAGGCTGAGATCGGAGGATCGCGGTTCAAGGCCAGCTCAGGCCGAAAAGTCTCCGTGAGACTCTTTTCTCGCCAGTTAACCACTCAAAAGACTGGAAGTGGGCTGGGCATGGGGGGCTCCCGCCTGGCATCCTAGCTACTCAGGAGGCTGAGATCGGAGGATCGTGGTTCAAAGGCCATAAACTTGATTTCCAAGGAAGGATCTCCAATAAACTAGCCAGACCCCACGTTCAACCCTCACGATCTAATACGTCACAGTTTATGCGGATGTAATGATTTCCACACAGCTATCTGTTCAGTTATTACGAGAAAAAGCTGAGACCGGGTGTCCACAGATATATAAAATGTGGGAAAGGATAAATATCCTCATTTCTTCTGATGCTACCTCGGGAGGGAAGAAAGCAGAATAAGGAGCTGCAGGATGTCTGTAATTTCCTCCTTCCAACACATGCGTGTATTTCTAAATGTGTTTCTCCTAATGAGCTCATTGGATCTTATAGTGCAGGTTTTTGTTTTTCTTTTGAAGGAGGAGTTCCTCCAGCTTCTATCCGACCTCATTCTAGTTAGGAAAATGTCAAGGAATACAAGACCAAGATGTTGCTACCCCCCACCCCCCCATTTCCATTTTTTAAAATATGTATTTCTTGCAAACACTCATATTCAAATTTCAACATTGTTTATTCACATTCCAGCTACCTCCCTCCATAGTTAGTGCCACCAGCATGCACTTTTCCTGTCATTTATGTGTAAAAAGAAGTAGTTTGTTGGTGGTGGTGGTTGTAGGACTTGAACTCTGAGCCTGGACACTGTTCCCTGAGTTCTTCAGCTCAAGGCTAGAGCTCTACCACTTGATTCACAGCGCCACTTCTGGTTTTCTGGTGGTTCACTGGAGATAAGAGTCTCATGGACTTTCCCGTCCAGGCTGGCTTAGAACTGTGATCCTTAGAACTCAGCCTCCTGAGTAGCTAGGATGACAGGCGAAAGCCACCGGTGCCCAGCTAGGAAGCACTTTTTAAATTAAAAAATATATTTTTTTTTTTCTTGTCAGTCCTGGGGCTTGAACTCAGGGCCTGGGTCTTGTCCCTGAGCGTTTATGCTCAAGGCTAGTGCTCTACCAGTTTTGAGCCACAGCACCACTTCCACATTTTGGGATGGTGAATTGGACTTTCCAGCCTTCGAACTCTGAGCCTCAGATCTCAGCTTCCTGAGTAGTAGGATTATAGGAACAAGCCACCAGTGTCCGGCTAAAAAGAAGCCCTTTTGAGACAAATGATAATCCCACAAGATTCTAAAGGTACAAAAAAACAAGAGTAGAATGAGGAGAGGGACACTTGTGAAACCGCCCACATTAGTTCACTTTGTTGAGAGCGAATGAAAGCTAAACTAGCCTGCTGAAATGAAACAGAACCAAACAATCATGAACCAAAAGGAACATATTCTTTCTCGGGCTATGAGTTCAAGTTGGACAAGAGGTAGAATAAGGGATCGAC